CCAGCTAGTAAAGAAAGAATGTTGGGAAAAAATGGCATCTTTTTTCACCAAGGTGAGTATCATGCCAAATTGAGGCGCCTCGTCCTCCGAACATTCATGCCTGAGTCCATCAAAAACATCGTACCCACCATCGAATCCATCGCTAAGAACACCCTACAATCATGGAATGGACACTTGATCAACACCTTCCAAGAAATGAAAATGGTAAGAAAAAAACAGAGGAGCTCTGTTTTTCTTTTGCTCTGTTTTTGAATTATTGGTGTTTTTCCTAGCTGATTCTTTAATCTTTATGTTTTCTTTAGTTCGCATTCGAGGTTTCGTTGCTATCAATATTTGGAAAAGATGAATCTCTTTACTTCGAAGATCTTAAACGATGCTATTACATTCTTGAAAAAGGGTACAATTCGATGCCCATAAACTTGCCAAGAACACTCTTCCACGAGGCCATGAAAGCTAGGAAGGATCTAGCGCGTATCTTAAACAAGATCCTCACTACCAGGAGGGAAACGAAGCGGGATTACAAAGACCTCCTCGGATCATTCATGAGCGAAAAGGAAGGCCTCACCGATGAACAGATAGCCGACAATGTCATTGGCATCATCTTCGCAGCTCGCGACACGACAGCAAGTGTTCTAACATGGATCTTGAAGTTCCTAGGAGAAAACCCAAGTGTTCTTCAAGCTGTTACCGTACGACCCATTTCTCAAAACCAAGAAATATGTGTAATTTGAATTGGGTCGAGCTTGGAAACTGAAAATTCTCCTCTGTTTTTGGGTTTACAGGATGAACAAGAAGCAATAATGAATGAAAAACAGAGTAGAGAAGATAATCTCACCTGGGGTGACACTAAAAACATGCCGATGACTTCAAGGGTGATTCAAGAAACTCTAAGAGTTGCTTCGGTTTTGTCATTTACTTTCAGAGAAGCAGTGGAAGATGTTGAATTTGACGGTGAGTTTTGGATTAAAAACAGAGTTCCTCTGTTTTTCTGTGTCTAAAAACCCTCATTTCATTTGTTTTCAGGGTATTTGATTCCAAAGGGATGGAAAGTTTTGCCTCTGTTCAGGAACATTCATCATAGCTCTCAGAATTTTACTCAGCCTGACAAGTTCGATCCTTGGAGATTTGAGGTAAAAAACATTTTGTTGTTTTAACTTTCTTCATTTAGCAAAACAGAGGAGTGTGAATCTAAGGCTAAAAATGAATGATTTGTGTTTGATATGATGATTGGAACAGGTGGCTCCAAAACCCAATACGTATATGCCATTTGGCAATGGGACCCACTCCTGTCCGGGTAATGAATTGGCCAAGCTGGAGATGTTGGTTTTACTCCATCATTTAACCACAAACTACAGGTGCCTATGCCTAAATTTTTACTGTGATCAAGTTTAATCTAAGTTTCTTTTACCACAAACTACTACTACTTTTTTACTTTTTACGCTTTCCTTGTTTAATTGACTAAATTTTCACATTCTAGAACCAAAAAATAACTCAAATCGAGTTTCAAAACGAGCGTTTTTATAAAAACAAAAAACAACTTAGATCAAGTTTCAAAACAGACATTTTAGCCGGGTTTTTTTTTTTTAAACAAAAAACAACCAAAATCACTAAATTTTCACCTTCGAATGAAAAATAACCTAAATCGAGTTTCAAAATGAGCGTACTAGTAAATTTGTACAAAAACGACCCAAATAAGGTTTAGCAGGGTTTTTCTAAAACAACCCAAATAAGGTTTAGAAACGGGCATTTTAGCAACTTTTTTCAAAAATAAAAACAACCCAGATCGAGTTTCAAAACGAATATTTTAACAAGTCTGTTCGAAAACAAAAAATAATCTAAATCGAGCTTCAAAACTGGCATTTTAACACTTCTTTTCGAAAACGAAAAGCAAACAAGATATAGTTGGAATGAAAATTATGGGTGAATTGATTGATTTGGTGTAAAAAATTGCAGGTGGAATGTAGTGGGAGCTGAAGAAGGGATTCAATATGGTCCATTTGCTCTTCCCCACAACGGATTNAAAAAAAAAAAAAAAAAAAAAAAAAAAAAAAAAAAAAAACAAACAAAGGATGTTGTTTTCTGGGGGAAAGGGGACAGTCTCTGACTCAAAACAGAGTCATTATTAATCATAGATGGATATACTCTAAACACCCAACCCACAAATACTCCAAAATATCAACGGTCCTCATTTTTTGTAAAATTTATTATTATTTTTTTTTACAATTTTCATTATTTACTTTTAAATACCATTTTTTTTTTATTTTCTTTTTTGTTGTAACCAAGAATTGCCGCCGCAAGGCTATTAAATATCATATAATAAATCTTATTTTTCAGTTATTTGATGATCACATCAATTTTCATTTTCTTCCCATTTTTTATTCCTTTAATTATTCAACTTTAAATAAATAAATAAATAAAACAATATTCTTTCATAGTAAATCGTTCCATTACGACAGCTTGACGAGAGTTTGACCGTACAAAAAAGATGTTACGATGAAAATTACTAAGAAAATAATTTATGAAAAGCTTATCCCAACATAATTTCTACGTAAAGGCCAATTACTAATATTGGATTAATTAAAAAATTAAAATAGAATTTAAATTTAAAAACATTTTATTATATATGAACTTAATATTTTAGAAATAATAAATCATCTCCATGGAAGAAATTATAAAATTACATTTACTACCAAATTTAATTCTTTTCTCACACTTATTTATGGGCTCGAAACTTGAACAATGATTCAAGTACAATCTAAATTCGATCTAAACTTAGATCAAAGTTCAAGTTTGATGGGTTTGTCCTAATCTAATTTACCTCGCTTGTTTGTTAGAAATATGTATTTTAAAGATTGGACTAACTTATAGACCCGATCATTTGAATCGATTTAAATCATTTCCTCAAGTCAGTCTAATGGACTATATGTATTTGCATATATAATATGTTTAAATATATATAAATTTAGATATTATTGAACTATTTAATGCAATAGATTAATCCAAACTCAATTTAAGAATGAGTATTTTTTGAATAGTTATACTATTTAGTAATGTTAATTATTGAGCCATTTTATGACGGTTTCAAAAAGCTTATTAGTCGTTATAATATTCCTTTATTTTTGCTCGATAACTCATTAATGAGCTGATTGGTAAACGATTGAGCTATAAAAAATTGAACAACATTTGTTTAGATGTCTCATTAGACATACCCCACATAGAAAGTGGATCACTTTTAGGTGCCTTCTTCCAATCATGAAGCATGCTCAATCAAGTTCGCTTTCATTCACATAAATAGAATATGCTTAGAATCTCTATTTTAGATTTTGATCCAAGATATTTACATATCCGAATAGATCAACCTCTTTTCTATTAGGGATATTTTTAAATATGATTGATTTAGTTTAAATGTTTTTGAATAGTGACTACTAATATCTTAACTAGTTAAATCTACGTTGACTGGCGTTTATCTTATATCGTGAATACTAATAGAAAATGAATTACTTTTATGATGTAATTTTTAGGTTAAATTATACAAAAATGAACATAATTCAACGATAATTAATATCTATCCTTTTATTTAGCTCGAAATTTAAAATTTTTCGTTATAATTATCCCTTCAAGATTGGCCACAAAAGATAATTTCACTTTAAAAATTATATTACGTAGTGTTTTTGTTGATATTTGATAGTTAAATAATTGAAGGCTAATAATGACATCCCCATCATGTGGGGGATTCATGGTTTGGACTTCTGTGCAAGAAGTACTGACTGTGCTGCCTTCGTTGACTTTTGTTTTTCCAACGCCTATAAATTAAATCATATTAAAATAATAAGTGAGAGAAAATATTAAAATAATGAGAGAAAGTTATCTTAAAAATAAAAATAAAAATAAAAATAAAAATAAAAGTATTGTGCTCAGTTATTATTCTTATTTAAGTTAAGGCAAGACGTATAAAAAGGGAAAAAAATATTGAAAAAAGACAATAAATATCTTATTTTAAGGAATTAAATTTATATTTTTAAAAAATTAAGAACTAAATAATAATTTGTAATTTAAATTAGTATTTATTTGTCAACGTTAACTTTATTTATTTTTCAAGGTCGAAAATTACAATTATTGCATAAAAAAAAAAAAAGAGAGAGAAAAGACAAAAAAAACGTATATTCTTAAAAGAAAAACAAATTATATATTAGCTGTCAAGATATTATGGGGGAGAGAGAGAGAGAGAGAGGGACACGTGGTGCAACAAAAAGAGATGAAGTTGGTCTTAGTGCATTCGTGGCTGCGATCTTTAATAAGAAGACAAAAGATTGCATATTATATTTATTTGGACAAAACTATTATATTGTTTTAAAAATGATGTTTGAAAAGCTACAATATTATATTTTAATTTTTTAAAAATATATTTTAAAATTACCCTGATAGTAATGTGAAAGAAAAATTGACATATTAAGTATTGTATTTTAATGATTAATCCAAATAAATATTCGAGCATTCAAGTCCGTCATTTCATGTTATCATCACATCAATTCATTACGACAGTTACTCTGAGCAAAAAAAAAAAAAAAAAAAAAAAAAAAAAAAAAAAAAAAATTAATATTTTACTTTTCTTGTCCAATTATTTAAATACATTTCCTCATTTCTAATCAAGCAAAATTCAATGAATTTGAGATTTGGTTGTCATGCTAAATCACAATTTAATAGTGACAAATGCCATAAATTTAGAGATATTCAAATGTCAATCGCTTAATTTAGTTAACAAAAGTCATTTCATGGAAATAATTCACCCACCCATAAAAGTCAATCGCTATATATATATATGTATGTATTGACAAATGGAATTATGAGAGAAGAAATTCAAATCTTGAGTGGAATATTAGCATCACCAACAAATTTATGTGAAATGTTGCTCATAAATATTCTGACTGATCATATATACCTAAATAAAATTGGACTAAGCTAAAGAAAAAAGCCATATAGAGATTTCAGAGAGTGGAAGAGGAAAAACAAAAGCCATATACAGATTTTTCTTATAGAAAGACAGAGCGGTTGAATTGACAGAAGAACACATGATCCACAACATAAAACATATTAAGCTTGAGCTAAGCTGAAGAAATTTACACATAAAGAAATCTACTGAATTACATACTGACCTCATTATTCAACGCCAATCCCAGATGCATTTAACGGGACGAAATCAAATAGAATGGCAACAGGCAGCAGCGAGTCATGTGTCGCAGGTCCCGTTATCACCATCAGCTGCAGAAGCTCTGCATCTGATTCTTAGCTGTGAGCATTTGCGGATTAGATATATGGCTTAGAAACTAGGTCTTGAATTTTTAGAAACTAGGTCTTGAATTTTATTTTCTCTTCTAGACAGACTTGGCCATTGATGAACACATTTTTTAAGATTAAACTGTCTTAAAAAATACCAATTGGGTCACTGGGTCATTGGAAAGCAAATAAAAGTTGCACCTTCTCAACAGCATCAGCCATGCCCGAGGCATCTTCCACTCCTTTCTTAAGGACATCGATACGGGCTTGAATATGCCGGTTCTGTTCCTCAGACTAGAAAAAGTTTCAATCATAAGAAAACTTGTAAACCTAATTTGTCAAGAAATTGCCACGTATACATAAAAATCTAGTGAGTGAAGGAATTGATTGATAGTATCTGCTATGATTCTTTGAGAAGCCACACATCATTAATTGGCAGCTGGCAAGGACCATAAAAGAAAAGACAGCACAGATTGTTTTTGGGAACTAAAGTGGAAAGGACGGTACAGGAAGATGCATAAAATACAAAGTAGAAAGAGTACCACAGGGAGACACGCCCAAGAAATACAAGCAAACAAAAGCAAATGCATTATTGAGCCTTTTTTTTTCACCTAAAAGCTAAGATGCGTGCTCACAGATGGAACAGAGCATACTCATTTGATTCAATTTTCAATTACAGAAAAAAGATCCATGGGATACAAAACTACCAGTATTGTTGTGACTTTAAGAATTCAGTTCTTCTAAAGGGAAATGCGGTGATATGCTAAAGATTTACCCATGAAGAAAGGCCTAAAATCTTCCATTATACTTGAATCAATTAAGAATGACCCCCTCCCCCTCCCTCTCACCCACAAAAATAAACAAATAAATAAATAATTATAAAACTAGAGTAACAGTGTCAGTTAAGCTGGTTTGTTTTTAGATGGAGAAGTTCGCTACTGTTACAAGAGTTGCATACCGTTTTCAGCATGTCCTTCAAGTGTTGGATCTCATTCTTCTTTGTGATGGACAGATAATCAGCAATATCCATTATATTAGTCCTGCATTAGATATTGTTATGTGTTAACTCCATCTGAGAAATTCAATCTGTAAAGGCCGCCCAAGGAAGCCCGACTTTAATAGTTCACTTCCCATGCCTTTGCGTAACGAAAAACAAGGGAAAATTGCATAAACCACCATGAGTTGTTATACTTCCAATCACATTTCAAATTTTCATCCAAATCATTGATTTAACTATCAGAGAACCCAGCTTATTTGGACCACTAACTGAGAAAGTAACCTCCCAGCAGAAGATACCTACTTCTTGGAGTACAATGGATCTAGATCTTGTTCTTCCAAAAGTTGTTCAACATTATCAAGTACACGTCCTACCTGCATAAATCAAAACTATTACAATGAGGCAAGTAGTCACACAATGGAAGAGGAAAAATCACCTGACATAACACAACTGATTAGCAATGCATAATCACTTCAAACAAACCCCAACGAATTACAATTACACACGACAAAGAACAAGTGACACGAAGTTAGAAATTGAGAAGAAAAATTATCATTAAAAAAATGAAACAATACAGAATGTCGATTACTTTTCCTGTAATCCTATTATCATGTGAACCATCACGATCAATCTCACATATTTTCGCTAATTCTTACCCATCATTCATGTTTTTCATCTTCTTGTATTGAAACCCACCATCAGCTATTTGGACAAAGGCATCTGACACATTCAAGACTGCAACTGGTTGAGTTTTTTAAAACTAATACATCAATAATTTCAATGAAGACCCTCACTGTAATCCTATTGAACTTGTCCACGGAATCACTCCCATGCCTTATTATATATATACACGCAGGAAGGGAAAAAGTGAATAGGAGACAGAAAGTCATTGAAGTGGATCAGAACGCAAAAATCAACTACAAATTAATATTATGTCATAAAGGTCTTAACCCAACAGCCCCCCAACAAATCTGACACATAGAAGTTCCTTGCAAGCAAGAGCTAATCGTAAATAACCAAAAGAAGTTAATAGACAGGAGAATTACCTGGGTTTCAATACATAATGACTCAAACTCGTCCTGTATGTTTCAGAAATGGCAGTGTTATTGAACAGAAGTGCAATATGTAAAAAGAGAATTAAAATGAAATGTTGACGATAACCACATAAATGTAAAAGAAGAGACGCCTATTGTAGGATTTATTTCAAGACAGGGTTAGGTGAATAGCCAACAGTAATGGACGAGGAAAACCGCACTAGACTATGGCGAACACCTAGGTTCAGGTGATTGCATGGGTTACTTTTTGCAAAAGGCGAAGGCAATTTGCATTCTACTGATAGACAATAACTGCGTGTTTCTGAGGAACTTTTCTTTTTTCCATTTCCTATCTGTTAGAGACAGAAGCAATCAAATTTTGTGTTATCATGGCTTGCTATCTTCTATTAACAGTATATAAGTATATTCTTTCAATTCTAAATCATGTGTCTCGTTGCAGCGCAGAAGAGAACTTCCATGCTAAAAATTTGTATATTATAATTAGAGAAGAAAACCCAAAGACTATAAAGAGTTACGATTATTCTGTGACATCATTATAACTAAAGAAAACATCCAATTGGATCAACAGTAAGCCTAAGCATAGAATAAGCATATTATGCCATTAAAGATGTTCGGGAGCGATTTTGAAATGGTTAAAATCGCTTTAGTCGTATTCAAAATCACTCCCAAACATGATTTTAATTATTCAAAAACAATTTTTATGAATTTAAAATGACAATTAAAATTGTAAAATTAACACTAAGTTGATCTTGAAGGATGATTTTGAATGATTAAAGGCATATAATTTGAACATGACAAAAGTGATTTGGCAGTTTCTAAATCACTCTCATACATGTTCTAAGTGCCTTAACGTTGAGAAAAAGAAGAAACAACATAATCACATTGCTAAACAAGAGATCCCGAAATGGAATCGTCAGGATGGACTCCGAAGCAAAACCTTGAATGGAAATATACCTCTATGTTTCCATGCAAAGAAGTTATAACCTGAAAGTTCGATGAACATCAAAATGCATTATTCCAGTGTCCAAAGAGACTAAAAGCAATAAGAATATATGTAAATTCTTAACATGTAAAGCAAATAACATGCTGCTAACCATGAAGACAACGCATGATTTGCACATTCAGCAAAACTAAGAATGATCCACGCAAGAAAACTCCTAGAATCATATTTGTTAAAGATTAGTGTTTGTTTAGATTCCTGTATTTGGTTAAATCTTCTTATAGTTATGAGTCGATTTGTTTTTATTTGATTTACTCTTGATTTGATTAGATTTTGTTTTGATTTAATTTGTTTACTAGTTTGTTACCAGATTTACCGATTTCTAAGTAGATTTTCTAGATATCTCTTTGTATTCTCTGTCTATATATATAGAGCATTCTTGCTCTTCAAAATTTAGTCAAACTTATCAATCATTCAATCATTCAATCATTCAATCAATCCCTCTTTCACTAACAATATTAAAAGAAACACAAGAACTCCAATTTAAATTATAGCATCTATGCCCATAGGATGTTAATTTTCTTTCACCACATCTTTCCTGTGAGGATGGGGGAAGACATAAAAGAGCAGCACAATAGTACCTGAACGAATAGACTGTGAAGATTTTCTTGCTCCGCGGTCGTAAATCCCGAAAAGCATTCCCGAAACTCCTTTACGAAACAAAAAAGCACAACTATACAAAATTTACTGTCTCTTTCAAAAGAAAAGTAACCTATAGATATCTCTCATACCCAAATTGCCACTTGATAAGGAAACTTTTATTGCAAAGCATCAATTCCACACCATTTCCAGAAACAAATATGAACAGTAGGGTACTACAATATAGAACACTATACACATTACAGCACTTTCGTGCTTACCTCCCTGGAACAGGAAGTCAGGAGAGAGCGAACGGCGAGCTTGAACGACTTTTTCAGATCAATCAGGCTGGAGTTAAGCGGAGAATCAATCTGGTGCTTCTTCTCCATTTTCAAAACGTTTATACACTTCAATCCCCAACCCTACCTCGCTAAATTCTACGCCAACATATAACTCTGCGGTAATGGCGCAATAACAACATAAAACAGAAAGTAGAAAACGGCAGCAAGTGAGCGAGTTGCTGATGACTCCGGTCAGTGCCGGCAAGTCACGGCTTCAACGACAAAAAAAGACGAATAGACGAAGAGGTTGAAGTCAAGTCGAAGGCGGGAGGTTTTTGGCGTTGAAACTTGGTAATTATGTAATATTTCAAACACGGAGGGTCAATCTTGTAAATATAAGAAAATTGAATCCCAAATTTGTTATTAACGGCCCAAGTGGCCCAGTACTAATTGCCAGATGTGCTGCTATACTTTTATTCATATATATATATATATATATATATATATAAAAGAAAATGTTATATTTAATTAAAAAAATTGTTCAATTATTATACTAAAAAAAAAAAAAAAAACTATCAAATTCGTGTGTATTTTCCCCCAATTTACAATTATAAAAAATAAGGCTGTTAGCTGGAGATCCAAGAGGCCGTTCCAGTGAAGGCGCCATCCACAGGACACATGGCATCCGTGGAGCTCTCGTCAATGGCGCTTCGCCGCCTTCTTCCAATCGCCGCCGTCACCGTTCCCGTTGCGACGCTTTTATTTCTTTTTTATTTTTATTTTGGCAGTGTACTAGTTTTTCTGGATTCGTCGATCTGAAGGCTCTTCCTCAAGACTGCTACGGCGGAGCAGACGATCGAACCTGTTGAAACGAGGATCAGAATTGCTGCGGCGATGTATACGCCGCTCTTCACCAAATAGCACTCGCCGCTCAACCAGCCCGCACCGTATTGTTGCTGTCTGCTCATACTCGTCGCCGCGCTCAGTAGCAATATCACCACGGTAAAGCTTGCCCTAGAACATCAAATCTCCTCTGAATTACATTTTCGATTTGAATTGATTTTTTCGTTTCATGAATAATCAACTATTAGCAAATTCTTATAAATTTCTTTGAAGATTCTGAATCAGAAGAATGAATTATTAGCAAATTTTCAAGAAATTGAACATAAACATGAATGAGACTAGATGATGAGTTCTTGAAATTGAAGATTTATGACTCTTGATTGGTGATTTGAATGACTTTTGTAAGGCTGATCAAACAGTGAAAACAAGAGATATGAACCAAACCTACCAGGAAATAACAAGAAGAATTATGGCCAAAATTGATCTTCTAGGAGGTTGTTGATCATTGTTTTTCTTCCCTCTTGAGTTCAAACTGCAATTTGTGCAGAACAAAACATTTCCAATAACTTGAGCAATAACGAAACACGCCAATGCTGCAACTCCATATCTAAATGCTTGACTTTCTGGCAAATAGCACAGCTTTCCATCCAATCTGAGGTCTTTGGTCTACAAAAAAAGAGGGAAAAGTTAGCCAAAAATCAAATTCTTATTGAACACACACACACTTGTGCGATGAATTCTATACCTTTGTTCTGTGTAATTCTGCAGCTATACAAGACACAATGGCAACGAGTGCGAACGAGACGACGATCGAGAGGCTTAAGGCGTAGACGAAACGGCGTTTTTCCATGGCGGGGTGTGGTGTTATGAGGAGAATGAATATAAAACACAGGGAAAGGCTAGCTTCAATGTGACTAAAGAGGAAATTGGGAGCTCTTAGGGGGCTTTTCTATTTTGTGTGTGTGTGTGTGTGTAGGATTGCTTGTTGCTTTTGTGTTAGTTGTTGAAATTGTTCTTTCAGGAGGCTTTTTTTTTAGTTGCTTGGAATGAGAGTTACCAGTTTATTTGAGAACAACCTGTATGGAAAATTTGAAAGAACTGTATTTAATTTTCTTTAATAATTCTTTTTTGGGAATTAATTTGACTTAGAGTTGGCAATTTAGTCCAATTATATTCAATAATGGCAGGCTATTTCCAATTAGGATTGGGGATATTTGCATGTGAATGAATGGAGGAAAATTCCAAGTTTTACATGGAATTTGTAAACCAATTTATGGCAGCATGAGTGATTAAGTATTTTTTAGACTCAGTTTTAATTATTTGAACTGTTAATTTTTTTAACTTATATAACTTTTATTATACACTTTCTAACCAATGAAGAATTAGAAATTAGACAAAATAGAGATTCTTACTCGACTTTTTCTTATACACGTATTCATCACTCAAGTGATATAATGAGTCTCAATCTCTTCACTCAAATTCACTAGACAATAGCTCATTTGTTGAGTAAATAACACTAAGATGAGTGTTCTCCTATTCCGACTTTTTCAGAGCCTCCAATAGCACAGTCGAGATAGCGATGGGTTCTCTGCCCTTGCGATGATAGAGCAACCAAAGTTTTGAGAATTCAAGAGAAGGTCATTGTGAGATGAGCCATTTTATCATCACGATAGGTGTCAAGTGGAAGTGTAGTCATGTATGCAGCTGAGGCATCCTAACACATCGGTGGACTTGAACCTTGTTCCTACATGACCCGATCGAGGAACAAAAGATAATAAAAATTTGCTATCTTTTTTCATACTATTATAAGACAAATAATTATTTGAAGCGGCTGTCACAATGAAAAATAATATTCGTTATCGACCCTCACGCTATATCGACTAATTAGGTAAGTATTTACCGATTGGAATAAGATTCTAACGAACTAGTCTCGAACTTTCAAATTATTCCTATTTAATCCCTATACTTATAAACATTTTTTTTTTTTTTTTTTTTTAACTATCCTCTAATTTTGTGAGTAGTGGGAAGGAATTCCATTAATAGTAGGGAATTAGCGGTTCAAGTTTGGTATTTAACTTTACAACAATATTAAGCTCATTCGAACGATTATTTATTTATTTATTTATTTATTTTCAGAACTTAAATGCCTTGCAACCAGGAAAAGCAGAGATACCAAAACCTTTCCCTCCAAATTAAAATTCGAATTCTGCCAAAAAGATAAATAAAAACAATAATTAAATATCTCAATACAAAAGCGGAGTCAAATTACCTCATAATTTCGAGAAATTCGCCGCCGGATGTTGCCGTCCGCTTCATCAAATCGGCAATCTCCAACCACCAAATGCCCCCGAAACTGATCTCCAACGCAAAGCGCCGCACTCATCCGCTCATTTGGTTCGCTGCTGTTCTCTGTACTCTGGTTTCGATCGCCGTCATAATCGCCGGTGTCGGCGTCTTCATTGGCTACCTAGTGATCCACCCTAGGATTCCGACGATTAGTGTCATAGGCGCTCATCTCGATAACTTCCAGAACGACATCGTCGGCCGCCTCGAGGTTCAGTTAACGATCCTCGTCGAGGCGGAAAATGATAACGCGAAGGCGCATGCGAGTTTCTCCGATACGAGTTTGTTCCTGAGTTTTCTAGGGCTAAACATCGCGGAGATTGTAGCCGATCCATTCGATGTGAGGAAGAACAGCTCTGTCCAGTTCCATTACGCCGTGAATTCGATTGAGATTCCTTTGAATCCAGAGCAGATGGAGGAAGTCGATTTCGCGTTGAAGACGGATCTGATCCAGTTCGATTTGAACAGGAACACGAGAGTTCAATGGTGAGTTGGATTGTTTGGATCCGTGAAATTCGTATGCCAAATTCATTGCGGGCTTAAATTTCATCATTCCAATGGAACGTACTTGATTTCGCCTTGTAGTTCTCGAGCGAAATGATTTCTCTGTTCTTGGGATAATTTTAGTACGGAACAATTTCATGAACAATTTCCAATCTATTCTTGGGAAATTAGACAATTTGTAGTGCGTATTGAGAATTCTTGATAGATTTAGATTAGCGAAATTGAGTTATATAATTTGTAAAGTTATTTGAGTTATCTCCAATTTGAATTTAGTCAATATTAAATTAAATAGTTTGTTTTTAGTGACATTATTTATGTTTTTTATATAAATTATAATAACGACAAAGTGAGTAATTTTGTTGTATTAAAGAAAAAAAATAATTGAGTATAATTATTAATAGATCCAATAATTAAATTTTCAAAGAATAATTGAGATGATTTTATTAATGAAATAATAAATAAATAAAAAATCCCAGCTTGATTTTGTTGCCTACGATTGGATGCTACAGACTGGAAATTCATAATGATTTTATTCAATTTTAATGCCATTATTGAATAATTAACGGAAACTTTTTGTAAAATAATTTTTTTTTAAAATTATTGATTTTCAGGACCAAACAATATAGTTAGCGGTAAAATATGCTGTCAAAAGTTTTAATTTGTAGGGTAAATTATATATTCGGTTTAAGCTTGATTTTTATATTCGCTCGATTTTCTTGAATATAAATTTAGTTTTAGTTGATATGGGATAATTTTATGGGCGATTTTGTTGATATGTTTAAAAGATTTGATTTTGACATTAGAGAATAAAATATTAGAAAGACAAAAAGCTAATTCGAGCATGCTCGAGACAGGACACTACTATCTCAAAAGTTCGTAATTTTATCTTCATTTCATAATTACCGAACTAAAAATGATATATATATTGTAAAGGAGGTCAAATATGTCGTGCCGTTAGGCTAAAAAGGCAAATTAGAGCAGCGGCCATTGCCCCGAAACGAATAAATGTGGTCTCCTGATAAGAAGTTTACATCAAAATCCAGGTTTAATATATTCCCTTACCCTTTTCTATTTTCGTTCTTTTAATTATATTCATAATTTAAATACTTTTTAGAGAAATTTAAGCAATTTAAAATTTTATTTTGATTGAGGATGTACGTCTTAATTAATCATGTGATACTCAGAGTAAATGAGGGATATATGAACGAACTAAGATCATATTCAAATGAGAGCAATCATGAAGATAGAATGACTAAAAAAGTCTTTGAATTGAAAGTCATTACCTATACTATATTTAATATGAACTTGAGAATAATTTAGAATATTATTATTTAAGTATGTGTTTTTCTTTTTTAATTTAAAAAATCTTTTTAATTGAAAATTAAAACTAATTTAGATATTAAATTTATAATTCAACTAATAATTTGAAAGGTAAGATTTGCTGGAAGATTTTGGAGCCGGGAAGAAATAAGGTCACAGTGGCTCTCCTCTGTTCCATAATATAGTGTAGCGACGATCATTGAGTGCGGGTGGACCCCCCAATGTTTCAGCCTATCACAGCCGTTAGATTGATGCAGCTTCTCAGTTGGCGGTAGACACGTGTCCTCATCGTCTTCGATTCTGGTTGCTATAAAGGCCCCTGAACCGGCCATGGTTCTTCTCGCTCTGCATAGGGTTTAATCTCCGTAGTCTCTCTGTTTGCCTCTCATTTCCGTATCCTTAATCTTTCGCGGGCAATATCTCGGCGTTGTTTCTTCTCAGTTATACACCGGCGGTCTCTAATTCGCTTGGTGCAGGTCGGGAACTGCTTCGCTCCGGTTTGCGTTTGCCGACGGCCGGCATCTCCTAATCTTCTTTTTCTGTTTTTCTCTGCTTCTATTTTTTTACTTTTTGCTTCATTTCTTTGCCGCCGTGTGGTTTAGCTTGTTCGGGAAATGTTTGGGCGAATTGGATCCCGCCTTGCATCAACTGAATCGGAAACCGTGGTGAAGATTGCTTGGATTCTTACCTTCCTACAGATCTCAGGTACGGAGTTTCTCTTACTTTTGAGAGAGAACGAGTTAATTTAATTGTTCGCATTTTTTCATGATTGGAGTTGTAGAACTTTGTTGCTAGTTTCGATTTCTCTCCATGACTGAAATTAATAACCGGTTTGAAAATTACATAATAGATCTGGTCTGTGCTCTGAATCTTATTTAATTATCTTTCTTCCTTTGTCGTCCGCTTTCGGAGTTAACTACTGAAGAGCTTTAGCTGTGTTTCGCATTGAGGCTGATGTTTGTATATCATAGAGCTAGAGTTATTGTCGTTGAAGTTATTTGGTTTCTGTTTATTGCTTCCATCCATGAAACACAATGACAGATGTTACATCTAATTTTGGACATAAAACTCCGATTCTAATCCGTATGGAATAACGGAACTGTTAGAACTTTGTGTATCATAGATCCAGATTTATTATCGTTGAAGGTATTTGGTTTCAGTTTATTGCTTCCATCCATGGAACACAATGAGAGATGCTACTTCTAATTTTGACATAAAACTTCGATTCGAATCCGTATAGAATAACGGAACTGTTAGAACATTATACTTCATATTCTACTCCTGCTAAAAAATCAAAGGTCAAAGAAAAAAAAAAGAAAAGGAAAAGAGAGAGATGACAATAATCTTTGAACTGCTGTTTACCTTGTAATAGTGTTTGGTCCAATTAATTGATCTGTTTGCTGAGTACATTTTCCGCGAATAATGAGTTTGACAAAAAGAAAGAAAGAAGTGGCGACCTGTTTGTAAGTTGTAATCTTCTGGTAATTCTTGTATGACTGTAGAATTCCCCGCCAAACCAGGTTTCCTGAATTTTTGTTCCCTTCGTTTGCATAGTGCAGAGTAGAACTAGAACAATGAAACTTGTATTCCGAAAAAGGGGGGATTTGTTTTCATTTGTCGGCTCCTGGGCCGTCTGGCTCCATCATTCCATGATAATAGCCTGTGGAAATGGAGACATTCCGATTCCTTTCGTTCGGAAATTAAGTATAAGTGAACTGATTGTGTTCCATTGTAATAGGAAATAGCCAGTAGGTTTTGTGGTTGGTAGGTGGTTCACCATAAAAGCGAAAATTGTTTGTTATAAAATTATTTTTTAAAATTATAATACCCTTTTTAAAAAATTGTTCTTCGTCTCATTTTTACTAAGAAACCATTCAGGCATATGTAACTTTTTGTTCTTGTGTTTTTTGCTTTTTGCTTTTTTTAGGTATATTATTAAAATGATAGTTCAATAGGTTTAAACGCAATTTTCCTATTAAATCAAACATTGGACTTCAAAGTTAAAGCTATTTTGGATGGCACAAATTTAATATTTTTAATTTTCAACTTTAGGCATATGTTGCTGGTCATTATGGAAAAAACAAACCATTGTCACTTGCATAAAAGCTTATCTTGTGAAAAGAAGACCTAACTATTGTATTACTTATGTCTAGATAATATACTTTTTCGAGCATCTTTGCCTAATTATCAATGTTGCCTTTTCTCCTCTCTCCCACCTTTTAACTAGCTACCACGTAGCTTATAGGAGCTGGGACTTTTGGTTTCTTTGTAACATTAATGACAACCATAAATTCACTAGGTTTTGTAATTGGCTTTCATTTATTTTTGGTGTGGGACATGGTTAGCATATTTTGCATTATTTATCTAATTATTTTTAATTTACTAATGTCAAATTGATATTTGAATTTTCAAATGTGTTTAAGATGTATTTTACATTTAGACCGTGTCTAATCAATTTATAAACTTTAAAAAGTGTTATTTAATCTCTAAACTTTTAGTTGTGTTCAATAAATTTCTTAAATTTGTCTCTGCAATTTTTTCTAACCTATTTGATTCTTTTTTAAATATACACATTAATCATATATTGAGAGTGTTTTTAATTTTAAAATATAGAGACTTGTATTTTGATAAAGTTTATTCTTAAAATCATTAAAAGCAGAAGCATGAATTGTTTCTATAACATCTATTGATGCAATGCAAAAACATTATAATTATTTTGACGCTTGTGACGAATGATTTGTGATTCAATTAATTTGACTTGATTGTTGTTGTAGTAGTTTGTTTGTTTTTAGGGCCAAATAGATTTTTGATTCTTGAAGTTTGAAGGAACAGCATGTAGCGTCAGTTTGATTTTTGAAAATTTAAAATAAACACTTTCGATACTGAAATTTGAAAAAGTTCCTGCCCTTTCTTCATCTTCTTTTCTTGTTGTTGTGGTTGTTGCCCGCACTGCCTTCGGAGTTATCCATTACACGAGCTTTTTTTTTTCGTTCATAAATATATTTATAGTACTTTTCCCCTCTTATCTTTTCCCTTTACCTTCTCTCTAAGCTTTTCTTTCTTCCTAACATTTCATCTCTGTAACTTACTCTCTTTAATTACTTTTTACTGCATTTATATCTCTACGAAGCATAAATTTCTACCAATTTTTATACCCCATAAATTCCCCTCTTATCTTTTATTTCCCCTTCCACAGCATTTCTCTTAAAAATCTCTCTCTAACTGTTGCAAACATTAAAATAAATAAATAAACATTACCAAACATGATTTCACTTCATTATTTTCTGTAAGCCAGGAAATCAAAATCTGTTTACTTGTTTCTAATTAATTAACTGGAAAAAAAAAATACCATTTAACAAAATGATAAAAATGATAGGGAGAGAACTTAGCCTCAATAACAGCTCTCTCCCCAGGATTAGTACATAATGTTAATTATAGTTTATGCCTAAAAGAATCGGTAAACACCAATGGAAATTTTAACTGTGATTCTCTCCATTGTAGTGAGTGAGTGTCCAAGACTTCTAGAGAGAGACTAAGAGATCCTTTGATCTATTCAACATTTTTTAACATAAAGTTGAAAAAATTTAAGATCTTATTTGGGATAAATAACAATTTTATGTCTAATAGATAAGTTAACTTTTAAATATGTTTAAGAATTTATTGAAAGTTTAGAGGTTTGTTTAGATCATTTTTTAAAGTTTAAAAATATATTACTCACCAACCTATAAGTTTAGTTCACTTTAAACATATATCACTCACCGTGTACACATCTAGACAAATGAAGGGAAGATTAAAGTCCACGTTGACTCTAAAGTCATTACCTATTCTTAAAAACCCTCGTGAAAGAATAATGATATTATATCTCTCTACCTTAAACATTGACTCTCATCCATAAGCTTGAAGGTTAAAGGGATTTTTTCCCCTGTTTTTCTGGACAGATATAAATGGGGTTGAAGTTTGAAGCCATGATATATATATTTTAAACCAACTAAATTTTTCCAGCTGAACTGGTCACTAACAAACTCTAATGGATTCATCATTCAAAGGCAGCAACTTAAAACGACGCATAGAAGATGAAATTTACAATCACTATGCTCTTTTACGAGGTTTGAGATGACAATAATTTACCTGAACATGTCTAGAACGGTAGCTACAGTTTGCAATCCATGTATGAGTGAGAATTTTGCACTTCAACAGGGCACCAAATCGTCTACTATCTCGCCTGCAAAAGATTGTTAAAATGGTAACAGCCAAACAAATATTATGAATCCAAGTGCCATATATCTTCAAGGTTAAGCAAATAACTTGAAGGAAGAAGTATACTATCAGTCTATTCAATGGTTAGATATGGATAATAATAAATAAGTTAAAAGATCATTATAATAAGTTGGTAAAAGGGTTAGACTGTTAATATAACATAAGAAGAATTAATATTGTAGAAGTAATAAATCAAAAGATCAGTATAATAAGACAGAAAGTAAAACACGTGAAATACTAGTGTTATCTCAATCAACACAAGAATAATGGCAATAAACTATTACTGAAAAAATAAAAAAAGAAAATAAGCAAATTACTAATCCCGATTATTAGTACCTGTTTTGAAATATGATATTTGCAACTATTCTTCAAAAATTATTTTAAAAGATAAGCCTTCCCACTCAACTTTTTCGTGATAAACCAAATAAGGGCCTGTTTGAATTGTACTATAAAGAATTATGCATTATGAACTAAAAGGGTCTGTTTGTATGTCTGTACTTTATTTTATATATATATATATATATATATATATAGGGAGAGAGAGAGAGAGAGATAGTTATATATATATGGATAGATATAGGTATCCATTTTCCTGATGCATCAACCCATTACCCTAAGATAAGGACAAACAAATTAAATACTTACCATGCATGCACTTAATGAAGTAGTCCAACTCCGGGAAGCAAACCGCTCCTTGAATCAAAGCAGCAGGCTGCTGACGATATGCAAAGAAAGAGAAATGATGGCGATCAGAGTCATTCCTCGGTTTTGCCATATCAATAATTCTCATATGTCCTTCTCTGTCATAGCACGAAAGGGAATTTTCACCAGCTACAGTTAAGCCTCGATCCCAAGCAGAATTTAAAATCTGTAGACGAGGCATGGAAATTTCCCTTTAAAGGCATTCATAAAGGAGAAGGAACACAATAATAGAGAACAGGAACAGTTAAATTTCAACATGTTAATGGTTACTAATACACACTAGATGTCGAGAAATAAAGAAATTGTTCTGAGACCAGTTCTCTGTCATTGCTTTCAAATCTGGTGCTAGAAAATTTTGAACAAACGACAGGTACACTTAATATTATTGATCATACTAAACTCATATCACAGTTTACAAATTTGAGATTTTAAAAGGTATAAATGTTTTTTATTTTTTTAAAATGGTAACTACAGAGAATATATGCCCTATAATAACCATTGCAGCCACGTCTTCCCCTACTTGCTTTCAATAACATTGGAAAACGGCACATTAACCTTTATCAAGGCATTAATCAATGGCCAGAAAAATCATAGCGAAGGCACCCATAGAAGCTCAATGGTGCAAAGAAAAAGGCAAAGGATACTACAAAAGTTCATCACCTGCCAACTCAAACTTTCTGGATCAGCCAATGTATCATCCACTTCCTGACCAGTAACTGGCATACCAGAGCATACGAGTTTGACTATTACAGAGTGTTTCTTCAGAACATCCAAAACAGGGGAGTAACCATCTTGGTTAGAGGGGTTATAAAACCCAGCTGTGAGCTCTGCCGCATGACTAGAAGTTTTGTAGCACCAATAAACTGCAGGAATCTGTGTTAACAAAAACATGCATTTAACTGATTCCGCAATAAGTCCATGACTGGATGCCTTACGATTGATTGATAGAGACATGAAACATATCAGAAGTTGAACTCATGAAGCGAGGACCAAAGTTGGAAAATGAGTAACAGGATGCTGATTGTCTTAAAGAAGTTGTACCCATGATTGAAGATTAACTATGCAAGTAGGGAGTACAGATACGATGGTTGTACCGAGAAAAAAAAGTATGCATGGGAATCGAAGCCGTTGTTCTACTGGAATTTTCATCCCTATAAAACATACAATGATAGTTGAGAGACATGATTATATACTCATGCTTGCTCAATATGTTGACCTAGGCCTCATCAAATGGAATGCAACAAACTTGGATAGGTGGGCAAATAATGGAGAAGACAATAGAGGAGAGACAGGACGAGAGATATGGGGGTTTTATCATAGTGTGACCCTCTAGATTCAACTCTCGAACCTCAAAAGCTCCAAGTTACAACCAGGTATTGTGTATGTCACGCCCCATAACCAGAGTTTGGAATCCGGATTCGGCACTTAATGGCCCCAGTATTCCCATGCATCCTTTGCGACATGGACACGTTACTTACCACTCACTTCTAAGAGTAAAAACTATCCTTACAGACCAACAGAGGTCTTTTCAACATGTTTTATGCTCACTAACATGCATTTTAAGAAAATTCCAAAAGATCACCCATCGTAGAATTTCTCCAAGCAAAGCATGTTTGACTATGGAGTTCCTATGATTGAGCCACCAAAAAGGAAATAGCACTTTGTTGGTACAAGTAATGACTTTTAATTCTTTTAAGTTTTTCTTAACTATCCTATTCTAAGAATCGCTCTCATTCGGATGTGGTCTACAGTTCGTTCATGTGCCCCTCTTTTATTCAAGTGTCACATGCCCACCAACTGCCGCGTTGGTTTATCCCCAAACCACAACGCACTAGGAAAGGTACTGCTCTGATACCATTTGTAATGCACCATGTTTAGGATTCGGAAACCAGATTTGGGCATGAGGCATCAAAGTGTACCCATGAGAAGGAAGACAATTTAATGCAAGTCCCATTAGCAAAGAAAAACCTGCATTCAAACAAATCCCGAAGAAAATAATGTGCTCCAAGAAGCACATCTGGTCATGATGCTAATTAAAAATTTCTCAATGAGAAAGTGACTTGTCAATGGCCTGATAGTGGAAAATTTCAAGAAGAATTAATCACCCAAAGAGCAAGGGACAAATTCATGAAAAGGCAATCATTACGATAAGTCACTAGCAACGGAAAAAACTTGCACAAAGCTAAGGTTGACCAGTGAGATGAACACTCTCATACCTTAACGATAAATTTTGTTTCCTCAAAGACAAGGCTTGCAAGAGACAAGACATTATCTACATGATATATCAGCATCTGCGCATACCATTGGAGGAAAAAGCGCCCATAGTAACTATCATAATCACCTCGTTCACAGAAGAACCCTGATTCATGTGGTCTAGAATTGTATTGTCCAGAATTATCAGGTCCTCTAGCCCAGAATGAGTGACCACGAAGCCCAGCAGCTTTGCGCAGACTCTGTTGTAGATACTTATCATAACACTGCACATCAAATTTGCCAAAGTTAACAATCAGCTATCCAATGGTCCCAAATTATTCCACTTGGTCTTACAAGGTGATGCGCCATTATGGTCCATTTTTATGAGTAGGTTCATTACTTTCAAGTAGAACTTTCAAGGTCACATATAGCATGACAATTGTTGTCTATACTACATGCTGATAGAACCCTCCTGATATACGAAACACAATACTCAATGAATACTAAGAATGGGAGATTATCAATATGATGAAGAGAATGTTTAAGAGATACCTGAAACTCACCAATACCAGGATAGCTCCATCCCATTCTTTTTGAGAAAGAAGGATATTTTAGTTCTCCAGATGCCCCCAGTCCTACTTCAATCGCAGAGACAAAACCCTCAGCAAACAAATCATTGAACTCAGTATGAAAGCTTCGCATGAAGTCAAAATAGACCTATAAATATTTAAGATTCCGTTAGGTACATAAATCCAGGTTATAATAGGGGTGATAATATAAAAGTATCTCATGGCCAGAACTGGAAAGAAAATTACATCATAGGCATTAGAATTCATCAAAGTAAAATAAAACATTAGATATATAAGGTTATCACAGTTTGACACCTATAAGTTGCAGTGTTATAGCACACAAAATGCTTCATCACCTCCATGCCAGTTCTTCCTCTTAAAACTCGCTCTTTGTCAATGCCCCAAGATAGACAATCCTCATTCCTCCTTCCTTCACGATCTGTAAAGAATATATCGGGGTTTTCCTTCCCTATCTCCAAAACCCATTGTGGGAGGTTGATAAATGCATCACCAGATTCAGTTCCCTCACATGAATGGAATGCCATCACAACCTTTTGAAAAAACATTTCCAAAAGTGATTCGACAATTGTTAGGAAATAAAGACAACCATGGTTGTTTTATGAGCTTTAGACAATAATCGTTAATCACAAATGCTCCTAAAGCAGGCTATGCATTTTCATGACCATGATCGCATCTCAGAGAAATACCTCTGAAACCCAAGGTTAACGGAGATTCTTATTTCAAATCCAAAATACATAACAGCAATTTGAGGACTGGTAAAACAAAAAGAGACTAAATGTGACAACAATCCAGATGGGTGCATAAGCAGCAAGTAAAGATCAATGCAATGATATAGCCTTTTGCAACTAATTGGCCAAACAATAAATTGGGGTTTCTGGAAATGTAAAAATCACGACGAAGTAGATAACATAAACAATTTATGTTGGTGATAAAATAAACAAAGGGAAAGTCCTTAAGGACTTATCTATAGCATATATACCGATGGGTTTCTTCTACTTCTACTTTCATTTAGATTTCACATGATTTGACCTACATACAAATGGAGCCATACGTGCAGCTCATCATTGGGAAATTACCTGCAATTTCAGCTTGAATTCTCGTATGATGTTAAAAAGGTCTCTATAGCCAGACCACACATACTTCTGTGGGTTCCAAGCTTCTATGATACCCCACCAACAATCCACAATAACACCATCAACATTTAGTGCTTTCAAATGACTTAACTCCTGTCTAACGCCATCAGGATCAATCAATAGACAGAAGTTGTTTATAAAACCAGTCTGGCATGAGAGTTTGGAATAGATTAGCGATTAAAATTTTGACAAAGTGAAAACGACATAGAAGGTAAATCTGAAGGAAAAAAAAAAGGAGTAGAAATGATTAATACACAAAATAAAAACCACTTACTGAAAGCATTACATAAACAGGGACATAAGGAGTGCCTCTGAACTGACTCTCATTCTCCCTAGGGCGAATATCTTGTGTAAGCTGCATCAGTTGACCAAAAGTTTGATTTTTCAAACTCAAAATCTTTAAAAAAAAAAAAATCAGGGAAGCAGGCAGATATAAAGGAACGTGCTTGATACATCACAGAGTTTTGATACGGATCAGACATCTACAGTAATACTTCCCAAAATTTAAAATAAAAATAAAAATAAAATAAATTATAGCTTAGAATCACAATTACAACGAAAATGAACCAATAATTTTTGACAATATCAACAGTTTCTTAATTTCCTATGCAGAAGGGGCAACCCATTATTTTATTTCTCAACTACAATGGAAGACTTCAGCCTTTTTTAGGACATAGCATCATGCATCACTTGAGAGAGAAATATACAGGATGAATGGAATCTAATTCATTACTTAGACCTCTTTGTTCCATCCAAAATAGATAAATCTCTATATTAACACTACGTATGTATGCTTTACATTGTCAATGTCCTAACTGGTCCATCTTTGTAAAATGAAGTAGAGGACTTTCATGTCCTTAAAGGCATTGGGAATACCTGATGTACAAAACATCACTTACACATGTGAAAGGAAACAAAAGGTTTAACTTAAAGTTATTTAAATAATACTACGTTACTTTTCTAAGAAATTAGCACAGGACAATAAAGTTGGATGGGAGAAAAGGAGCTAGTTAGTGAAAAACTTTACCTGATCTTCCAGGCAGTGAGCTGAGTTAAGAGGGCTCAAAGCTGCATACTTCTCATTCTTTGCATCTCTTTCCGTGATAACAACCGAATCTAAAGATGCTGGAGACAAGCTCTCATCAATTCTGTGAACAGATGGCTGACAATCTAAAGCTGCTTTAATAGAGCAACTCTTAAAAGAACCGGATGAGATAGGGCTTTCACCTGACCTTACAGGAAATGCTGCCTGTGAAGTATTTACAATCAACAGTAACCAAGGCTTTAGAAAGAACGGATAATACAGTGGATTTAAGCAGCAGCATATAAACTAGGACAACCAAATTAGAGCATACTTTTTGTATGATGACATGTTTTATATCTTATAATCCTAATTGGCAAGACAGGTAGAGTGTGAAACGTTCGATCCATATCATCTTCCTCAAGTCTTAAATTACCATTTGCTCTAAAAGTATCGATAAAACTGTAAAAATAAGCAATGAGTTGATTGTTGAGCCTGTGCTACTATCACCTATCGTTGACACTTCATTTACGTTCCATATTTCCTTTTGCAGCATTCATCATTAGCAATTTCAGAGTAATGTTCTTGCCGTGTTCATTTAAATCATGTTCATCATTTTCGATTCTTTTAGTGGCATCAGAGATCAATCCATGATTGTTTTAAAGAATTCATAGAGATAAACCAAGTACGAAAAAATTAGCGTGACAAAGACTCCTGAAAAAAGCGCGAAAAGTTTAACCAAATGTACCAACCTCTTGGGACTGAGAAGGCGGAGTGGAGTGCCTGTATGTGGTGCCATCGGCCTCGACAACCCAACCAGCCTCCCTAGCAAGCGCGGCCAGCACATCATTCATATCAGCGCGAGCAGGAAGGGGGAAGTTACCATACTGGCGGAGTCCCGCCAGTATTCGACTAGTAATGGCTCGGCGATGGCGCTCACGAAGCTTCGTCCGCTCTTTTTCCTTCTCTCTCTCTCTCTTTGCCTTGCCGCCAGTAGCAGAAGCCCTGGAAGTTGTCTGTCCTATAGCAGCAGCGGTGGCGGAAAAACCACGAGGACGACGAGGCGGCGGCGGAGGTTGAAGCTGGTGCGATAAGTAGTCGGAAACATTATTGGCTCGGGGTTGAAGATCTTGATGGAAACTATCGTCGTTCAAGCTGCCGCTCATCTTCGTCGAATTCTTGCAACTTACTTACAAACAATATCGAATTACATTGATTCGCTCGAACCAGTAGCTCTTAAGAATTCCGATTGCAGCTATCTTTCCCGCCCATTCCCTCCGGCGAGACGACGCGCCTTTGCCTCGCGCTCATAGCTGATTAAGCAAACAAACAAATCTCTCTTCCCAATACAGAAAATTAAAAAACAGACAACTATATATATATATATATATATCATTAAAAATCCTTTTTTTTTTCTCGCTCTCTTTACTTCTCTTTTTTCTTTTATTCATCAATATATTTCCTCCACTTATATTGCGCAGAAATTTAAATTTGTATTTATTAAATATATTGCTTAATTAAGAATGTTTGGATATATGATATAAATATATATATAAAGTAAAATAAAAATTTCAAATAAGTTGGAATAAATTTTTTTTATCTACTTCTTACGTTAAATTTAATATAAAAGATAAACTTATAAATATTTATAATTAAAAAATAATTTATGGGAAATTTTGGTTTATTTCTTATATTAAATGAAAAGGCTAATTAAGCAATAAAAAAACAAAATTTATAAAGGCAGAAAGTGTAGAGAAAAGACTTTCATTATCTTATTCACAATCTTGGATAGGAGAAGAAGGTTCATGAGATTCTCTTTTGGGTCCATTTTCATTACAAAACTCTAGCAAGTCAATACTTATAAAAGAACACCACAAATCATAGAACAAAAACCAGAATTTCAGCATCATTTTCATACCCATTCATCATCTTTTCCATTACAATATTCTCACCAGCCAACCAAAAAGAATCACAGACAGCGGGTTTTCGAAATGAATTGCCTTCACGTGACATCGTCCGGTAACGCATCCGATCTGCTGCATATGTCACCTCGACAGAGTGGACATACCCTGCATAATAACACAGACGAGCAAGTGAGGTTGGTCGAACTTCAGTAGCGTGAAAACTATACACATCGATCAAGTCAAAAGTAGGATTCATTTGTTCAGACTGTTCAACAAGTATTATTAAGTCAGACCCACCCCATGAATGATGTCTGTGAAAGCCAGTGTATGATGTTCCAAAAATACCAGAAAATGAGGCATTCGTCCATGTATGCTAATTGTATACAGTTCGAGATGCAGAAAACACTATGTGAACCAGTTAATACCTGTGGATTTCCTTCAGCCACTTATCGACACACGCTGTGTGAAACTCATGATGGCAAGGCAACACTCTCATGCTGTCTCCTTCATCGTACTCGACCAGGCATATGTAGCATCTGTGGATTTATAGTATAAAAGGTGGGACACATAAGACAAACGTTGGACTAAAGACGAAAGAAGCTATGCGTGCGAAAGAATATGTGGAATGAATGTCTTAAACAAGAAAGAGCATATGCTTACTGGGCAGCTTCCTCGTTTTGATGCTTTTGCAACTTGGAATAAAATTTAACGGGCATAGAATCTACAACATCGTTCGGAGCAGGCAGAGAGCCAATCGAAGATGCAGGACGGGACGATAAGACTACAGATTGCTGGTGAATTTCATCCAGAACCTAATTAAATTAAGTACAGAGATTCAATAGTATAGATAAAATGCGAGGAAAGTAAGCAGAGAATATGACAGAACATTGACTTACCTCAAATAAGGCTTCAGCTAACATTACAATTCTTGATATACTAGCTCTAGCATCGGTGTTGTCATTTACATTTGTGTCACGATTATTGATACGACAAGTACAACGACCGGTCCTATGTTGACCAGATATTATACACGATCTCTCGTGCCCAGATAGGTTCTCAAAGCGACTTCCCAACCGCTGTAGGGCACGAACCTGAATGAGTGGATTCAAGAGAGAAAAAAAGACAAACATTACAACATTTTTATACTATTGCATCTCTACCATAGCATAAAAATGAACTCCATCAAGAATAATTACAAACCTGGGAACGTATTCGTCTTCTCCGTTCAAGGAAATTTGATCGGTGTTCGAGCAAATCGTGATATCTAGCTTCTCGAGGCCGAGTGGTTTCCATTTCATTATCTTGGGTGCTAAACAGGGAACTAGATAGACTAGAAGCTGGATAACCTGACGTTGTTGAAGAGGTCATAGCATTATCTTCAGATGATGAAGCCCTTGTCTCAGCAGTCCGAACATGCCGGTCATCGCCACTCTGACTAGCTTCTCTCTCCTCTCCCTCTTGTTGCTGAGGACACAATGTGAAGTCAGATAACGATGATCTACGAAGAACCCTATCACGGAGTCTTCCAACGCTAAGGGTCCGACTGAAACGAAAATTGTGTTCAACTGGTTCCCTAGATCCAGTCTGTCTATCAGATTGTCTAATCTCACTGCTTTCATTTTCAGGTAGATTTCGAGGATGGGAAACGTTTCCATCAGGCTCTACTCGTGCATTATCACAATCACGAGCCACATCGTGGGTAGAAGAAACTGCCCGATTGTCTTGTAAGTTAGTAGAAAGATCAGAAGGCAGTGTATTTAGCCGAAAATTAGCAGGACCATCTCCATGATACCGAGTATGAGTTGCACTAGCTAAGGACGCAGGAAGCGAGTCCCTACCTTGCTGCATTTCATCTCGATCAGCAAAGCCTCCGACAGGTCCATTCGATAAACGAAGCCCATCTTCGTCATTCAACATTGAGAGATTAGTTGAAGACAAAGGATAAGATCTAGATGATCCTAAACAGTTTGCTCTACTCAGTCTGAAGCTTACATTACCGGGAACGAAACTAAAGCGAGAAAGGAAGTTACTCGAAGAGTTCAACGATTCGAGGGAGGTTGCACGGGAAGAAGTACTACCAGCTCTAGGGGCGGTAACAGCACCACCGGTTTGATCCCATCCATCAAGTTCAACATTCGAAGTTACGCAAGGTGCTTCAACAGACTCCTCAGCTTTGACCCTTCTGTAACCCTCAATTTTCTTCTGATCTAATGCTTGAGCAGTATGATTTGCAGATGAACAATAATGAGCATTCTTTTTGTTATCACTTTCACAATCCTGCAGAAGAACACATAATCCAAGTGAACATAATGAACATCGTCAATCAAACTCTAATTTTGTTCATACAGATCATTAGAAATTAAAACTACCCATCATAAATCAAATACAAGAACCATTTATACAATAATCCAAATTGCATGGGCAGAACATGCTGGAGTTCTATAGAGATATAAACAAGAAAATTAACATGAATCGAAACACAACAGACAACGCAAAGTTAAAACACTACTAAGTTTTGTGCAAATATTTAGTCCATTCTCCAGAAATCGAATGCCAAAACAATAAAAAAGCACCTACAAAGATGCAGAAATTCGAATCTCAATCCATCTTGAAAAAAAGGGAAAGAAAATCCTGTACATTATCGTCATTGTCGCTATGGTGCGATCCAGAGAGCGTCCCAAGGCAAGAACACTGGAAAAATCTCCGGCCTTTGGATCTCCTCCTCCGGATTCTCCCGGAACACGACAAATTCGCCGCCAACGACGACGAAGACGGCGGCAGCGACGGCAGCGAACTGCTCGACGGTTTACTCCCGCTGGATCCCATCCCTCGAAACCAACGCCGATCCTACTCCATGGAAAAATCCAAAAAGTGGCAAAGATTCGAACAATCCAGATCTAGAAAGACTCCATAAACACCGATTTCAAATTAATGAGAGATTAAAAGGAAGGAAGGAGAATTGAGAAAGTAAAAAAGAACGGAAAGCATGGGATTGGAAGCATATTGTGGCGAGTAGATGAGAGAAAGAGACAAAGTAACTTGCAGAGCAGAGATGTGGAACGGAAATGGGGTCCCTTTCTTGATTATCCAAATGCTAAGCGAAGCAAAGCAAATGATAAGGAACCCATGTAGCGTAATTTTGAGTGAGGATTTAATAGCAATAGATAAATTAAAGTTGAGCGATGTTGATTGATTTTCAGATCGAAAAGACGAAGAACATGCCGTTTTCTCTGCCTCCGTTTGAGGGAAAAATTCAAACACCCGACCCTTCAAAAATTGCACCCACTGGCCCACCGGGCTCAGTTCTGTGTACTTTGTTCTTGGGCCTTCCTTTGTCCTCCAGTTCTCATCTTCCCATCATTTTCTTTTTCTTTATTAAAATTGTGGTGGGTAACTAAAAAAAATTAATTCACTTTTATTTATTTTTTAATGCAAATTTTCCACAAAATTTGCACAAGAAGCCCCAACACTTTCAAATTTAAAACCCGACCACACGTCGAAGTAACCGAACAAACAAGAATTTAGTGAAGCAAGCTCCAAAAATTAAATTTATTAGACAACATTATTTACATTTCTTTAGTTAAATTTATAATCTTTTGGGATGTGTATCATTTATGTTCATATCATATCATAAAAGTAAAAAAAATCAAGGTAGACTACAAATTTAGGTCTATATTAACCATTTGAAAAAAATATCAAATAACAGGCAAAACGCTGATCGAAAGTTATTTGAAAGAAAAAAAATTTGCATTTTTCTTCATCGGTCAATTCATGGTTGAAAGAACTCTAGTGATGAAGTAGTAGATCATTCTAATGAAACACAGAAGAAATAGCTAAAATTCCACGTCAGCTAGATAATGAGTCAAGGATTTGTCATTCTTTTCTATTAGTTAGATTTGTCATTCATACGAGGTTTTTACTTCAAGGCAACTAAAGAGTGTTCTTTTCTATAATGAATGTTTCGTTTTCCTCTCCAATCGATATGCGACTTCACAATCCACCTATCTTGGGAGCTCAACGTTCTCATTGACACACTGCCTGGTGTCTAACACTTATACCATTTGTAACAATTCAAGCTCACCACTAATAGATATGGTCTATTTTGACCCTATTACGTATTGTCGTAACCCTTATGGTTTAAAAACACGTCTATTACAGAGAAACTTCCACATCCTTGTAAGGAATATTTCGTTCCTCTTTCCAACCGATGTGAGACCTCACAAAATAAAGTTTCATCGATGTTAGATTTGTCTCGATAAAAACCAAACTACATATTTATGTTGTAACTAATACAGCATGAATGGCAGAGAAGCAATTGCTAATATTGTTGCTAGTTTTTGTGATAAATACAGTCTCTTTATGTCACAACTCACGAGTTGTGGAAAAAAGCTAAAAGCCCTTTGGTCCATTCGGTGGTTGCTGTTGCCCGAGAATATTGGATTAAAAGAAGACATCCCAAGTTTCAAGGTAAAGATAGAAAAGGCTAGTTGATATCAGAACTGTTCTAGTGTGTTCTTGGTTTCTACATAATTATCTCTACAGTTTCAACTGTTCCATAAGCATTATTCTGCTCTAATCCATTGGCATTGGGAGGTTTTCGTTTTCGACAGAGAATATCCTATCTACCCGTACTTTTAGATATATTATTTGTTACATCTCACATCGGTTGGAAAGAGAAACGAAATATTCTTTGTAAAGGTGTAGAAACATTTTCCTAGTAGATGCATTTTAATCATGAGGCGGATAGCAATACGTAACTGGCTAAAGCAGACAATATCTATTAGCGGTGGGCTTGAGTTGTTATAAATTGTATCATAACTAGGTACCGAGTGGTGTGCTAAAGAGGGCGTTGAGCACCGAATGAGAGTGGATTGTGAGATCACACATTGGTTTGAGAGAAAAACGAAACATTCTTTATAAGAGTGTGGAAACCTCTCACTAACATATGCGTTTAAAAGCCTTGAAGAGAATAATATAATCATGAGGGAAAGCTTGAAAGTGAAAATCCAAAGAAGACTATATAACCTTGAGGAGAAGCCATGAAAAACTCAAACAAGACAAGATCTGCTAGCAGTGAGCGAAAATATAATCTTGAAGGGAAGCTTGAAAGGAGAAAGTTAAAAGGGAAAATTCATAAAGGATAATATTTATTAGCAATGAGCTTGGACATATAGACAATTACCGCCCCTAAACTTATGTAAATAAACAAACGAATCAGGAAAGAACATATAGAGTAATGATTGAAAGTAAAAGCTTAGACAAAGAAACATGTCTAATGCCCAAAGACTGCATCATTATACAAAGGGACGCGTGGGATCCATCCTAATGCTTCAGCTCCATGTTCAAACTTCAATAAATTACAATTAAAACTAAATTTTATCCTTCAGACAGATCACAAGAAGAGACCAAAAAAGCAAACAAGAGATATGAGATGCTAAATTAAGCCATATGTGCATAAGAAATTGCAAGTTATCAATCGCCAAAGTGAAGTGCATAAGAAATCAATCACCAAGAACCCTAGACAACAACGAACACACGAAATTGCAAGTTACGAGCACATTCAAACCGGAAATCCAGACGACTTACATAGTCGACGGCAAGCGGGAAGGTCTAGTTGGATCATTATTGATCGAGACAGCAGCCTTCGATGCCTGACCTACAATAAACAAACAAACATCCATTAAAAACGTATCCGAGCACATAGATTCAACATGGCGTTGGGCGTTGGTTACCGATGGTGCCATTGCTGCCGGATGCCCATTTGTTCCAAGCTTCCATTTACGCAAAACCCTCCAGACGTCTTAAGCTTCCATGGAAATGAACCAGTGAGCTCTAGCAAATATCTCGTTGGTCCGAAATGGTCGAAGACATTTCCCGGGACGACTAAATTTTTCTTATGCTGTATTAAATTATAAATTATTAAATTTAGGTCTCCCAGAGGATATTGTTTATTTATTTTTTAATTTTTAAAAGCATGCAAATTAGGTTACATATTTGTTGGGTGGAAACTCAATCTCACACCGGTAAACATTGTTCTCTTTGGACTAACTTTTTTTTTTGGATTTCTTCTCAAAAATTTTAAAACACATATTTTTCACAATCTACCCGCTTCGTGGTCCCACGTCCTCTTTATCACTCGTTCCCCTCTCCATTTGATTTGGGATCTCACAGTCCACCCCCATTCAGGACCTAACATCTCTCGCTGGCACACTGCCCAATGTCCACTCCCTTTAGAGCTCAACGTCCTCATTAGCACACCGCTCAGTGTCCACTCCCTCCGAGACTCATGTACTCATTGACACACCACCCAATGTCTAGCTCTGATACCATTTGTAACAATCTAAACACATCTCTAACAGATATTGTCCGCTATAACCCATTACGTATCCTTGTTAGCCTCACGGTTCTAATACGTGTCTATTAAGAAAAAGTTTCTACACCCTTATAAAACAATACATCGTTCCCTTCTCCCATCAATATAGGATCTAGTAAGTACGAGTTAATTATTATTACTATTTATTTAAAAATACATACTCAATCATGAACGTTCAAAACCGCAGTCAACTCGAGAGAAATGGTACATCTAGGATGACTTAAAATCAACGTAGGGGAAACGTTGCATTGTTGATCAAGCATTCCTAGGAAGACTTATATAGTCAACAAAGTACGTACTCAACCATGAACGTTCAAAACCGTAGTCAACTCGAGATGAATGGTACATCTAGGATGGCTTAAAATCAGCGTGGGGAAACGGTGCATGGTTGATCAAGCATGGCTTATAGGTTCAATGAGTGTGTTCATTGCATGTGTTCTTGGCTTATAGTTGCCTATTCAAATCTTTTAAAGATTATCAGCTGAATATTAAAAGCTCAAACAATAAATAGAGAGAATATAATGTATTAGGTGATATTTAGTTTCATAGAATACAAAGGCTCAAACAATATGAAAATGCTAAGCTAATACACAATTCAAACAATCGAAGACGATAACGACACACCCCGAGTTCGGTGCAGCGATGGCCTTTGTTCTTATTTTCGAGCTCTTGATGAATGTTGCTTCATTGTATTCAAACTGTATACTTGTGTTTTTTTTTTCTCTGTTATAAACAACAACGTAATCTGTGTTAATAAACCCGCCATTAGAGGTCGTATTTCGTTTAAAAAATGCGGTTATGGCATGTCGGGTTACACGGGTATGGACAATCGATCTTCTGGAACACACTCCTGTCGAAAAACCAGTCTCCAATCGACTTTGAAATGGGCTGCATTTTCAAATTTGATAAAAGAGTTGGTACTTTCAAGAACAAAGAAAACGACGTTTACGTTCGAGTAATGACTTTCAATGTCGATATCGAGGTCGATATCAATTTACCGTGTTACTGATCTTGGGGGAGTCTGCTCTTAGCCATGTCTCCTGCATTTCAGTTTGGCAATGCGCATAGCAAGAATCTATGAACAATCCTCTTGATGAAGGGTGTCCAAAGCCATTCAATGCATTCAAAAACTTATCCCTGAAATCTAAATCAAAACCAGAAAGATCAAAACAAGCACTTTTCATGTAACGGCTCAAGCCCACCGCTAGTAGATATTGTTTTCTTTGGACTTTCCTTTTCGAGCTTTCCCTCGAGGTTTTTAAAACACGTCTCCTAGGAGAGGTTTCCACACCCTTATAAAGGGTGATTCGTTCTCCTCCCCAACCGATGTGGGTATCAGAGTCAGACTCCGGGCAATGTGCCAGCAAGAAGGCTGTTTCCCGAAGGGAGTAGACACGAGGCGATGTGTTAGTAAAGATGTTGGGCCCCGAAGAGGGTGGATTTGGTGGGGGTTTCACATCGATTGGATAAACGAACGAGTGTCAGCGAGGGAGCTACCTTGTAAGGTTTCAAGCTGAATAGACGAGCAGTTTTTGATGTCGTTCTTGCAGTCATTCCAAATATGGCGTGGATCGGCAACACCGGGCACCAGAATGTTCCTTACCTGAATATTCATTCAGAAAACAGTTAAGCAACAAACTCGAGCTCGAAAGTCGGGTTATTTACACGTTTAGACGGTATGATCTTTACCTGCCATGAATCATAAGCTGCATTTACAATAAAGATTGGAGTCCGAACGAGCTGAATCACATTTTGGGGAAAGAAACACTGCAGAAGTTTGGATGAGAAACATAGGATTCATCAAAACGAAGAACACGACATGTTTCCTCAATCGAAAACTTACCAACTCGGGTTTCATTTTTGAAGTGCATTGTACAGGCAAATTCCTAGCTGAACCCTGTTAAGTTCATAAGATGCAAGAATATTCCAACGGTAAATGGATCGATCATCGACGCCAAAGAAAGTCGAGAATGATAGAGAGGAACATACATGAGTGGCGACTATATCACTAAAGAACTCCTCGATATGCCGTGCTCCAGAGACATCTTTCCTGATATTCAACACTATGACATTAAATTAACATGAATGACGAACGACGAAAGCCGAGATATGAAAAGGAATACGAGCTTACACATTGACGAAGTATCCTGCATCTGAGACACACTTTACTTTGGTAGTAGGAGGAAGTAAAGATTTGAAGATATCACAATGCAAAATGGAACCTAATCCACCGGCCGAACATCCCGAGAGAATAGCCTGCGGTAACGACATAAGATCGATGCGAAAGGTGTACTTATATAGATCATCATGTGTAGTAACAAACAAGCAAGTTCAGTTCAGTTCGGTTCAGTTCATACGTTCTTCGCGTTCTTCATTCCCTTGGCGAGTAGTTCATCGATCACGGCTCGAAAAATTCTTGCTCCTCTGAAATGCAGATTGGTTGCCTGATCCAAGGTATCATCACTAGTTCAGAAATGCCAAGGAGGGGTGAATATCATTCATTCTCACAATGTTGGTCAGTAAAGGAGTGTTCGAAACCATTGCTACTTACGGGATCAACGGCTTCGACGTCTCCAGTGAATGAAGATCCATCGCAGTATCGAATTTTGATTCTATTCCAGTTATAAAAATCTATAGCATAGAAGTATGGTTGTTATAGCAGAGATAAAACTGAATAAATAGATTCAAACGGTTCATCCAATGCTATATGTAAAGAATGTCTCGTTCTCCTCCCCAACTAACATGGGATCTCACACTATACCTGGATTGAATTCTCGTTGGTTACTCAAAAGCCCCGAAAACGCAAGCTCGGTAGCCATGGCCTTAGACGAACCTAAACGAGTATCCCGACGCAGGACGCAAGTCGTGACATTGTTGCACCATCCTCCTCCCTAAGAATGAAATTAGTTCAACAAGTAATCAACAAAAATGCATATTCTTGAATGAATTTTTCAGCTCAAAGTGAAAGAACAAACCTCTAGCTGAATCAACCAATTGTTAATACCAGCGCCTAACCCTTCACTCAAGTGATAAGCTGGAGGGCTACCATCCAAACAAACTACAAAGTGGTTCAATAAAAAAAAACTAAATTAAACACTCGAGTCCATCGAGTTGGTCGAGTTTCTTACCAGCTCCTTTGACACTAGGTTCATGAACATAAGTAATCCCCACAATAGTACAGTGTGTTCTAATAAAAAACTGAAGTGATGCAATAAAAAATAGCCATAAACCAAAATTTTCACTGCCCATCTTCTTCCTGCATAGATAAACAAAATCCATTCAAATAAATTCGTTTTTGAGTCAAAATAAGAATCCAAAAAAGGATTGATCTTGTTTTCTTGATTAACAAACAACCCAAATGATTAAAAAACACAATAAACAACAAATCTTCTGGAAAAAACAACTTCAAAAATGATTTATATCTGAAATAATCAAACAAAAAATTGAAAATAATAACAAAAACAAGAAACCCACAAGGATTTATCAAAGAACATGAAGAACAGAAGAGGAAAAGATTGGTAAAAATACCTGGAACAGGAAAAGTCAGCAATGGCGGAATGAAATGGGTTCGAGTTCTGTTTGTTGGTTCTGGAAATCGAAGTGTGGGTTTGTTTATATACAGAATTATAGAGAGACTACTGAATAATGATTGAAGATTTATGTTCATATTTAGAATGTGTTGTTACAGATATTGAGCGTCGAACCCAAGAACCGACAACTCATTCCAATTTCCAAGTCCAACCAAAGCCAAACGAATTCAAAGATAATAGTAAAAACTTCGCCGTGTTCTGTTTTTTTTTTGGTTTTTGTTCACCCGACCCGACCCTACCCGACCCGAATTTCATCGGACACGAATGACGAATCTTGTCGTTGTGGGCCCCACGCCCTCCTTCTGCAACGACCTGCTTAAATATAGGTCAAGTTAAAAATGGCTCGAAATATTATTCGGTGGATGGATGCCCACCGTATACGCTATGCACGACTTTATTGGTTAAGAATAAATTCTCCCAAGTCTTTTTTTGGATTATTTATTTTTTATATTACCGTCGTATTAAAAATTTTATTCCCACCTTTATTTTGTGGAAAATATATTGACTTTTATCCTCGAATTTAAAGGGATTTTTTACCTAAAATATTGTCTTACTCAACTTTTATTATTCTATCGCAGTATTTAAATAAATATGGCGTTTTAAGTAAATAAAAAGTATATAAATGAATCGAATCATACATTAAAAAAAAACAATAAAGAAATTGAAAATTAATAATAATTTATATATAATTAGTGTTATAATACAAAAGTATCCATTGGGTTGTGTTGTTTGTCTGCAAGTGGAAGTCAAAAGGAAAGCTCCCATTTATGGTCCAATGGACAGTGAGCGATTAGGACATGTATCCCACCGACATGGTTTTTGTTAACAAAGTAACATGCCTTTCTTTGTATTTATTTTATTTTATTTTAATTGACTTTTTAATTTCTTCCTTTCTCTCTCATTATTTTAAAGATTTTAATATTTAACCTTAAAAACATGTATGGTCGCTTTAGTCTATTACGTATCGTTGTCATAATGTGTCAATTAGGAAGAGATTTCCATACTTTTACGAGAAATGTTTAGTTTTCATCTTATGAGATCTCACAACGTGTCAATTATTGCTTTACTTTTTATATCAAAACGTACAAATTTAAATATTGGAGTATGTGTCAACTACTGAATTTTTCACGTTGAGATATGAAAATTTAAATACGAAATTTCAAATAAAAGAATACGTGCCAATTATTGTTGAGTTTTCACATTGAAGAATGTAAATTTTAAATTTTAAATATAAGATTTGAAAGGTAAGTAAATAAATGAGAATGATGGGGTTTTATGCAAATAGCCTTATAAAAAAAATGTCCTTACAAAAAATAATTATGAAAATATAATGATAATTAAGAAAAATAATGCATTTTTTGGATCACTAATTAAGTAGCTTGAATTAATCGAGTAGTCAATGTTTAATTAAATGAGAGTTAGCAATATTAATGTGTTTAATTTTTCAATCTATTTTGCATTTCATATTTATGTGCAAGTTTAATTCATTAATTGTATTTTATTTAGAATAATTTTATGTCGGGTGACCTCTTAAAAAAAAAATAAATTATAATGCATGTGAGTGAACATCTTTACTCTTAAGAAACGAGGATTCTATGTTGGGTGACGTTTTATAAATTTTCATAAAATGCATATGAGTGAACACAAAACATATTAAAAGAACTCGGTAAGTACTAAATTCATTTAATTTGAATTATGAGCTAAATTAAAATATCAATAATTATGGTATTTAAATTATGAAATTCCTTAATAAAAATTGTTTTTGTTTAAAAAATGTAACAAAAATTAAAATATTTTATTAATAAAGATAAAACCCATCCAGGAGAAATTGGAAGAAAAATAAATTTAATGTTGAGAAATTAAAAGAATTTAATGCAGATATAAATGAATATTCTAGAAAAAAATTGGGCAAAATTAAATTGGAAGAAAAAGTTGGTTTAAAAATTTGTAGTGGAGAGATGAAAATGAAAGGCAGAGCTCTTTGGTTCACACGAATTGGTCTTTCTAAATTATATTAAAATGGGAAACACATCACATGTGAAATCTATACCTAAATTTCAAATAAAATAATTAATAAATTAACTAAATAATTGTATTATATAAATTAATAGATGTTTAACAACGTGTCTATACTTATTTTGATTATTATCTGTCAAATTTCTTATTTATTTTTCGAGAATCTATTTGTAAGAAAATGAAAAAAAAAAAACTTAGAAATTGATAATTTTGGATATAATTTTTTTATTAAAAAATATAAGATATCATAATAAAAATTTAAATTTAAATATTACAAAATAATTTTTAGAAATTTAAATTTTAATATTATAATGTAATCTTAAAATAACAACAATAGTAACTCTCTTCTCTTCTTAATTATTCGTGTAAATAAATTAAAATTACTAAACACGTAAATAATTTAATAGTAAAAATAAAAGTGAGAATTAAAGTGGGAAGGAATTGAAATAAATGACAGCGGGTGGATGGATAAGGTCTCATGCATCTTGCAGTAAAGTAGTGGGGGTGGAACAAATAAAGTATATATAAAATCCTAATATTAATAATAAAATTTTAAATTTTAACCACACCTATTAAAAAATTATTAAATTGTCCCACATCGATTGATTTAAGGAATTATCATACGTTTATAATTAATGAATATTTATGAGTCATTTTAATAATAACTTATAATAATAATAACTTTAAAAATACATTTTAACTAAAAAAAAATAAATTTTATAAGTATTAGAAAAGTTTATTTAATAATTTATCTGCATTTTTTATTTTACATGATCATTATATGACCGGTGATCACATTTTCTTTAATAAATAAACTCGAACGCTTAATAAAATATTACAATTTAATATTTTAATTTTAAAGTTATTTATTAGTATTATGTATTAATATATGGGGGGATGTGCATGCAATTTCATGTAGAACCTATCAATCAAATAAATATTTCATAACTTTTCTTAAAAGTAATTTATACCAATCCATGTGACATTATTCGTGACGACCATGGTCTCCATAATTAATATTTTAAAATATTACAATAATAATCTTTTAATAATACAAGAAAAGTAATAAATATGTTGGGCTCTCCAGCTTACGAAGTGTAATTAAAATTTAGGTTTATTTATTTATGTGTAATTAAAAAATCATTAATAAATCAAAAAATAAAGAGACATTTTTATATTTTATGTTATGGTAATGGTTGGTCTGATTATCAGTCACAATCAAATTCAAGTGGCTATTAATATAATCCTTATCTCAATTTTGTGGAAGAGAATATCTCTCTCTATTAATAATTCATCATTAAAAAAAAAAAAAAAAACTTTATTTATAGGATAATATCAAAATAATTTGAAGTTTTATTATTTTCTTGAGCTATATATTGATTATTCTCTAGAAATTCCATGAAAAATAATTAAAAGAAAATTAGAACTTTTTAATATTTTTTAATTTTTATTTTTGCCAAAAAGCCCAACAATAGTAAAAAAATATGGGCCGAGTCATCATAAAAAGCCCAATAATAGTCCAAGGAATATGGGCCAAAGCCCAATTGACGATTAGGAATCGTCCAACCCGCCATTTTTACATTCCAGCACTTGAAAACTTCGATTCTACCAAGATCAGCCGCTCAATTTCTTCTCTCGTGGCCCAACGCCGGGGCCTCCACGTTCTTCCCCGCCCGCTCTCTCCTCCCTCTCTGCCTCCGATCTCATAGCTTTTTCCTCCATCCTTAACAATCCTGTTCAACTTTCTTCTTCTTTTTTCTTGATTGATTTAAGCTTTTCAATCCATTCTTCGTTAACTTCTAATCTGTAACCTTTGTTCTTCAATGCATTTGACTAGATTTAAAATCAATAAGACAGTTCCTGTGTTATTTCCCTTCTCGCGCCGGTTGGCTAGTGTGTTATCGACACAACCGCATAAAGAACACCACCAGGAGCCGCCATGGCAGCTCCAGGATTAGTTGCTATATTCGGTATCTTCTATTCTCTCTAATTCGTCTCTGGACTCTTCTAAATGTAGAGCTCTGTTCCCTCATTTGTTTCCTCTTGAGTTTGATCGGATGTTCTTCTCCGTTGGATTGAAGGCCAATCCCAAAACTTGTCTTAACTTCTTCTACTTTGCATCTGACTCTTTCAAATTTCGGTTTACCATTCGTTCTTATTGTATATTGATTCTTTTGCTTATTAATTCCAAGTTCTTACCCCCTGCGAGATTGCTTCTGATTCGTTTGATAGATGGGAAGCTCCCGGTGTTGAATTTCGATTTGAGTAAGCTTTACATTTCGATAGCTAATGCATTGTTAGGATTAACTTCAGTTGTTGGGCGGTTTGAATGGACACAGGCTCTTGATTTGTTGATACATGTATACAGCACACAATTCAGGAATCTTGGATTTGGTTGCGCTGTTGATGCGTTTTATTTGTTTGCTCGGAAGGGAATTTTTCCATCGTTGAAAACTTGCAATTTTTTATTGAGCTCTTTGGTGAAGGCTAACGAACTTGAAAAATGTTGTGAAGTATTTGAAGTGATGTCCCGTGGTGTTCGTCCAGACGTTTTCTTGTTTACGAATGTAATAAACGCTCTGTGCAAGGGAGGGAAGATGGAAAATGCCATTGAGTTATTCTTGAAAATGGAGAAGTCAGGTATTTCTCCTAATGTTGTTACTTATAATAGTATTATTCATGGTTTTTGCCAGAATGGGAGATTAGATGATGCCTTCAAGCTCAAGGAGAAGATGATCATAGAAGGGGTAAAGCCAAGTCTTATAACTTATAGTGTGCTTATTAATGGTTTGACAAAACTCGAAAAATTTGACGAAGCAAATCACGTTTTAAATGAAATGGTAGACACGGGTTTTGTTCCGAATGCAGTTGTGTACAATACTTTAATTGATGGATACTGCAAAATGGGCAATATCAATGAGGCTCTTAAGATTAGAGATGTGATGATATCCAAAAATATAACTCATACTTCAGTAACTTTATATTCTCTCATGATAGGGTTTTGTAAGAGTAATCAAATCAAGCTAGCGGAGAATTCTCTAGAGGAGATATTATCTCAAGGGCTATCTATAAACCGTGTTACTTGTTATTCGGTTATCCACTGGTTATGTACAAAGTCGAGATTTGAT